CAAGGTCCTCCAAAGTGGGCAATCCTGCAACAGCGACAACTTCATACTGGTACTAGAAATTAGAACCTGAGTGAAGTTGGCCCCCCCACCTTATTCAAATCAGACAAAATAAGTGTCAAACGTTTGTGCTGGTTTGTGCAGCAAAAATTTTCGTTTTAAATTATATTAAATTATCATTTTAAATATATAAAGAAATATTTCTAGAGGTCATCAAAGGTCAACCAGCCCCCCCACCTTCTTCAAATCAGACGAAATGGGTGTCAATTACTCAGCTCCGTTTGTACAGCAACATCTTCGTTTGTGCTGCTTTGGCTTTGAAGATATTAATAAAAATGTAAAGGTCAAAAGGTCAACCAGCCCCCCCACCTTCTTCAAATCAGACAAAATTAGTGTCAAACATTTGTGCAGCAAAAATTTTCGTTTGTGCCGCTATCATTTTTTTTACAGTTTAAAATTATATAATCATAGGTTAGCAACTTATAATTTATATGAAATTCAGAGTTTCAGAATGAAAAAATCAGAAAGAAATCTTTGATGGCTTCTACGAACAATTAATATAATTAAAATGATAGCAGTACAAAAAATGTATATATTTTAAAATATGCATTTTAAAATGTTTAATATATTAATTTTAAATATTTTATATTTAAAATTAATTCTAAAATGTTATATTTTTGTGTAGCAAAAATTTTCATTTGTGATGCTATTATTTCAATGATATTAATATTTTGTAGAGGTCATCAAAGTCAGTTAACATCTGTTTTTGCTGCACAAACCAGCACAAACAGAGTTAATTGACACCCACTTTGCCTCATTTGAAGAAGGTCGGGGGGCTGGTTAACCTTTGATGACCTCTAGAAATAATTCTTCATATCTTTAAAATGATTGCGGCACAAACGAAATTTTTTGCTGCACAAACGTTTGACACTAATTTTGTCTAATTTGAAGAAGGTGGGGGGGCCAACTTCACTCAGGTGAAATCAGAATGTGAATTTTAAGCTTCTACTTTGTCCAAATCCATTTACGTACGATTAACTGTGTTGAATTTTCTAGCAGAATAATCTCACAGAAGAAACCGTGTTCGATGTGAATATCAAATCCAAGAAGTACGTCTTCTGTGTGAGAGCTCAGGACAAACATGCCCGAGGGCCATGGAGCCACTGGAGTCAGTGCATGTAAGAGAATCAGTGAAAGGAAATTGTTTGTCCATATTTAGATTTGATTTTTCTTTTTCATTTGCTTTAATGTAAACTGTATTTTCCTCTCTGCAGAGTAACCAAAAACAACGTGGACTGCCACCTTCGCTAGCTGCCACAGAAAACAACTGAAGACAAAAAGCCAGATGAATGTAAAAAAAGAATTCTAACGTTAAGTCCAGTGGCGTGCACAAAACAATTGTTCATACACCTGTGCTAAAGTGCTCTTGACAGTGGTGAGGATGCACTATATGTGCCCTTTTCCTTTCTGCCTGTGCCCTTCAAAAAGTCTGTGCACGCCACTGGTTAATTCTTAAGTGAAAATTAATGTATACATGTACAGTATTTATTCATCCTTTATTTAAGTTATGTTTCTCGGTTTATAGTGGGTGAAAATTTGAATACTGTTTACTCATTTTTTTAAAAATACTTTTCCTTTGTTTTATCATAAAGTCAAGAATCTTATTTTTTTTGTCTGTGCCTTTATTCAATTTTTATTTCTTTTTTTTTTATTATCACCCCTTTTGTGGTGTAGAAAATATTCTGCAAGTGAAAAACATTCAAAACCCAGATATGTCCTTAGCTGTCACACTGAAAAGAGAACAGCAGAAACCTTTAAATGTCATCACATGACCCCCGGCAGGCTGTTGGTACGGCTACATCTGAAAGGCCATGTTAAAAAAAAAAAGGAGAGTGCACAGGTTTAACTTAAATGAAAGAGGTGCAAGATGGAAACCTTTTCTTTTTAAGATAAACATGAAGATCAGATTTAGGTTTGCTAAGCAGGCAAAGTCCAAGACTGCTTAAAGAATGCTTTTTAAAAAATATTGTACAGACAATGGGACAGTAGACTGGCTTTCCTGGTTCAAGCAAACTGTGCAGCATTGAGGTAGAAGTGTCATGATTTGGAAAAGCTTTGCTGCAGCGGGACTTCGCCAACTCACCATCATGGAGTCAACCATAAATTACACTGCGTTTCAGGGAAAATATGTGAAAAATCTGTAAAAACGCTCAACCTGATGCAGAACTGGAACTGAAAGAGTAGTACCGGTAGATGGTGACAGGTCATTCCTCACTGTTGCTGATGTTTTTTTTTCAACCAAAGGACAAAAACTAGTCATCAGGTAGTAGGATAAGTGTTTCCCTAGCCACGCATGTTTTTGATTTTATATTTTAATTAACCAGTTTCCCTTTGCAAATCAAACTAGATCATTTAATGTGCAAAAAAAATTGCATAAATTGCAATGTTAACATGTGGTGTCATTTTCTTTTCTTAAAGACTGGCTATNATTTCTGGAGGCGCCACTAATACCATGGTTTCTACATTATTTGTAACAGAAACAAACATCTATTTTCATCTATTTTCTGGAACAGTGAGTTAAGTAAGATCCCCCAATAACCTGCCATCTATTCTTTGGACTCTTGGTACCAAGAGAAAATCCACCCATGCAGGGAAAGAACCTGCAGCCACAGCTATGAACCAAAGGTCTTGTTCCTGTGAAGTAGCATGTCTAATGCTGAAGTGTGGCTATATAGGAAAAGTGGTCTCTGGTAATCAGAGAGTTGAGGGTTTGATTCAGCCACATACCATAGTATCCTTGGCCACTGAATAGGTTACCCAATAGTGCATTATTTTGTAGATCTGTGGAATAAACTGCTCTTAACATCAATTCCTACAGGACACATCCACTGCTCCGCATTGAACTACAACGGCTCCTTTCACTGCAACTGGAAGAAAACGCAGCAAAGATCTCACGCTACTGTGCTTCTGATAAAGGCAAGCCGGTAAGAGCAGAAGCATCTCCTTTAGTCTAATCTCTCATTTAAATCAAGCTCCAGAGTGTCGCTTTGAAGAAACGTTTTGCCTATATGAAGGCCCTTTACCTGTTCTGGATGGTGTTTTGCCTTGAATGCAGTTACCAGGAGGAGATATCCTGTGTGCTGGATGCTGACGGATCAGGAGTTTTGTGCCAGGATGTCGAATGTCCTTACAAAGAGGAAAAACACCCCATACACCTCACCATCTACATGATCAGCCACTTTCGTCTGGAGGCGTATACAAAGTCTTTCTACCTGAGAGAAATTGGTAAACCTTACAATTAAAATGTCACCATTTCTTATCTTTGTTAATTGCATTGATATATTGCTTGCATTAATGTTTGTGTTCAGATTGACCTACTTTTTCTTTTTTTTTAACTTACTGATTTTTTTTTACTTTGACTACTGTTTAGTGAGGCCAGAAAAGCTTCCCAACCTGCACATTACCAGCGGTCAGGTGTTCAGGTGGGACTATCCGGACACCTGGGAAAAGCCCCAGACCTACTTTGGCCTCCACTTCCAAGTCAAGGTCCTCCAAAGTGGGCAATCCTGCAACAGCGACAACTTCATACTGGTACTAGAAATTAGAACCTGAGTGAAGTTGGCCCCCCCACCTTATTCAAATCAGACAAAATAAGTGTCAAACGTTTGTGCTGGTTTGTGCAGCAAAAATTTTCGTTTTAAATTATATTAAATTATCATTTTAAATATATAAAGAAATATTTCTAGAGGTCATCAAAGGTCAACCAGCCCCCCCACCTTCTTCAAATCAGACGAAATGGGTGTCAATTACTCAGCTCCGTTTGTACAGCAACATCTTCGTTTGTGCTGCTTTGGCTTTGAAGATATTAATAAAAATGTAAAGGTCAAAAGGTCAACCAGCCCCCCCACCTTCTTCAAATCAGACAAAATTAGTGTCAAACATTTGTGCAGCAAAAATTTTCGTTTGTGCCGCTATCATTTTTTTTACAGTTTAAAATTATATAATCATAGGTTAGCAACTTATAATTTATATGAAATTCAGAGTTTCAGAATGAAAAAATCAGAAAGAAATCTTTGATGGCTTCTACGAACAATTAATATAATTAAAATGATAGCAGTACAAAAAATGTATATATTTTAAAATATGCATTTTAAAATGTTTAATATATTAATTTTAAATATTTTATATTTAAAATTAATTCTAAAATGTTATATTTTTGTGTAGCAAAAATTTTCATTTGTGATGCTATTATTTCAATGATATTAATATTTTGTAGAGGTCATCAAAGTCAGTTAACATCTGTTTTTGCTGCACAAACCAGCACAAACAGAGTTAATTGACACCCACTTTGCCTCATTTGAAGAAGGTCGGGGGGCTGGTTAACCTTTGATGACCTCTAGAAATAATTCTTCATATCTTTAAAATGATTGCGGCACAAACGAAATTTTTTGCTGCACAAACGTTTGACACTAATTTTGTCTAATTTGAAGAAGGTGGGGGGGCCAACTTCACTCAGGTGAAATCAGAATGTGAATTTTAAGCTTCTACTTTGTCCAAATCCATTTACGTACGATTAACTGTGTTGAATTTTCTAGCAGAATAATCTCACAGAAGAAACCGTGTTCGATGTGAATATCAAATCCAAGAAGTACGTCTTCTGTGTGAGAGCTCAGGACAAACATGCCCGAGGGCCATGGAGCCACTGGAGTCAGTGCATGTAAGAGAATCAGTGAAAGGAAATTGTTTGTCCATATTTAGATTTGATTTTTCTTTTTCATTTGCTTTAATGTAAACTGTATTTTCCTCTCTGCAGAGTAACCAAAAACAACGTGGACTGCCACCTTCGCTAGCTGCCACAGAAAACAACTGAAGACAAAAAGCCAGATGAATGTAAAAAAAGAATTCTAACGTTAAGTCCAGTGGCGTGCACAAAACAATTGTTCATACACCTGTGCTAAAGTGCTCTTGACAGTGGTGAGGATGCACTATATGTGCCCTTTTCCTTTCTGCCTGTGCCCTTCAAAAAGTCTGTGCACGCCACTGGTTAATTCTTAAGTGAAAATTAATGTATACATGTACAGTATTTATTCATCCTTTATTTAAGTTATGTTTCTCGGTTTATAGTGGGTGAAAATTTGAATACTGTTTACTCATTTTTTTAAAAATACTTTTCCTTTGTTTTATCATAAAGTCAAGAATCTTATTTTTTTTGTCTGTGCCTTTATTCAATTTTTATTTCTTTTTTTTTTATTATCACCCCTTTTGTGGTGTAGAAAATATTCTGCAAGTGAAAAACATTCAAAACCCAGATATGTCCTTAGCTGTCACACTGAAAAGAGAACAGCAGAAACCTTTAAATGTCATCACATGACCCCCGGCAGGCTGTTGGTACGGCTACATCTGAAAGGCCATGTTAAAAAAAAAAAGGAGAGTGCACAGGTTTAACTTAAATGAAAGAGGTGCAAGATGGAAACCTTTTCTTTTTAAGATAAACATGAAGATCAGATTTAGGTTTGCTAAGCAGGCAAAGTCCAAGACTGCTTAAAGAATGCTTTTTGAACAATATTGTACAGACAATGGGACAGTAGACTGGCTTTCCTGGTTCAAGCAAACTGTGCAGCATTGAGGT